GGAAAACATAAAATTCTCTTGGGTCATGGCTTCAGAGCCCTTTGAGTGTGTGGATGACTGGGCACTGTGAAGGAATTCTGGGACTTCCTTCTTGAAACAAAATCTTTGAAAAGAGTTTATCTTCACCTCTTTCCACCCTTAAACCAGTGAAGGGTAGGGTCTTGATTACTCCTGATAGGCCTTTGAGGCATCTTTCTATTGTTCTGATGCAAAGCACTTGGCTTCTTTATGTTAATCATTTTGGGAACCATCCTCTCCTTTGTTCCAGCCTATAGCCACTTCTCTTTTGGCAAAGATGCTATGTTTAAAAGGGCTTTTTGCTTGATTCTTCCAGTGATTGTGGTCAAAAGCCACAGCAGCACCCATTCCACTGCACAAATGTGAGACTGTTTTCTCCACCAGGTTAATTAGTCTGCTGCTTTTAACCCGTTAGTAGTTTACCCAAGTATCACATTTGTTTATGTACTCACTGTCCCAAACATTCCTCAGGTAGGTGCCATTTCATCCAGCCAATTCTTCTATTGAATAAATTTGATAAAATTGTCATTTTTATATTGCCTGTTATATTATCTTATGCAAGTTAATTTTAAAAGCATGCAATTTTTGGCCATCATGTATTTAAATAATTGGACTGGTGTGTTAGCTAATGCTTATTAATCAGATCTGGAAAAGTGCAAGACATCTGTCTATGTACTGGAAACCACAGCATTTTCCAGTGCAATCCATATCAAGAAATGGGAGGATCTGCCATGGAAGATGAAGAGATGAAAGGATCTGCACTGGAAAGGCCCAAGGGGCAGCGTTTGAAGCTGAAGTGTTTATGCCAAAAGGCTGAAGGACCTGTGTGAGAAGTCTGAGGGATCTGCACTGGAAATCAGGAGATAGCATCCAGGATGAAGATGAGGATTGAAGCTCACTCTAAGGAAGAAAGCATCCAAAGCTCCTGTAAAGAAAAATCAGTGAAACTTTTCCTGAAATCCTTCCCTCACATTCTCCTCTTACACAGTCCTAACAACAGTCCTCCTTAAGTGGGTCTTCCACACACAGAGCCATGCTGGCTCAATTCTCCTGGGCCTCCCCTACTCCAGTTGACAGTAAATTAATTACCACCACAAATGTAAGTGGTTAATCTTAGTCTTTAGCAAAGTCTCAGGACTTGAACAAAATATAGACAAATTTTCTGCTACAGCATAATATACATGGACATAAGTCCAGCTTCCAGAGTTCTTGTTTTCAACTGAAACCTTCTGAGCCTGTCCTTTACTATGTGCATTTCTGTCAGCAGTTCTCTGAGCTTTGACCAAAATCTCCCATCAAGCTCAGCTTACAGCCTTCTGGAGCTTCTCTAATCAGCATCTCTAGATCTTTCTAAACTCTTCCTGAGAGTCAGTTCCAAAGTCTTCTGAACCACTTGGTCAGGTAATCCTAGCAATGAGCCTACTCTCAGTATCAAAATTTATCTTTGTTTAAGCACCTGCCCAGCAAGTGCAAGGTTCTGAGTTTGATCCCTGATAAAAAAAACAAAAAAACAAAAACAAAAACAAAAACAAAATAAAATCAAAATCAAACAAACTACATATATACATACATATAGATCACAGCAGAGTCAGGGGCAGTAACCTAGGAGGGATAGCCTCTTCCTTTACTCCTTTCTGTCTGTGCTTCCTTACCTTCATTTGAGCAGCTTACCTTTATGGTAGGCCACTACTTTATGATATTTCTGTCTCTGACTATGGAATGAACTCTTTAAAAACAGTACACAAAAATAATCTTCATTAAATTGCCTGTGTCCAGTATTGTCTCTGTTAAAAAAGTAATAATGATATCAAGACTGCTTAATCAATATCACAACAGAACATTAAGCCTGTAATTTAATAAATACAGAATTATTTATAATAACTAGAGTATGAAACAATAACTCACTAGTTGTAATTAACATGGGCTGTTAATTACATAAATAATAAAAATATGGGAAGAAATAGATAATTCCGGGCTGGGGAGATTGCTCGGTGAAATAAGTGCTTCCCAGGCAAGCACAAGGACCTGAGTTCAATCCCCAGTTCTGCCAAAAAAAAAAAAAAAAAAAAAAAAAAGAAAAGAAATAGCTAATTCTCATTAAGGTCTTACTAAGTGCCAAGCATGTGATGAGTACTTTACAGAGATTATCTCACTTAGTTTGCACAGTGGCCTAAGAAACAGGTAGGATTTTGGTTATAATTTAGATAGGGAAATCAAAAGTTTGTTATATAGTTTGAAAAAGTTCACACTTAATGCGTACATTGGAGCTGAATTGTTAAGGAAAGAGTCTTTTATTTCACAGGGGGAACTTTAAAGTAAACACCGTTGCCAAAACCTCACTCTCAGAAATCATTATTCAGTGGGTCAGTGATAAGCATATTTTTTAAAAAGCTGCCCAGGGATTTCAGTGCGTCATAAATTAGGAACCACTTAGCTATCAAACACACTACTGACAGTTTACCTTTGCCCTCCACTTGTGCTCAGTCAGTAGAAACAAATTGTAATAATTCAGTAGCTTGAAAGAATACTTTTACGATTTATTTTATTTCCTCTGTCCTCTACTCATTGTCCTTATCTACGTTTCTGCATTTATCTCACCCACCCTGCCTATCTGGGCTCCCTGACTGTTGTCTCCTGGACTGTCTCAGGGTGTTGGCGAGGTGACAGAGGAACCGTGCTTTGTCACTGCAAATACATGCATGTCTGGCTAGAACTGCTTTTGCCACAGCTCTACTGCTGTTTTTGTAAGTCTTCTTTTAAACAGTTAGCTATAAAATACATTTGCCAATTATCTTCTCAGCTATAGAAATAGGAGTTAGGACCTAGGTGGTTAACTTTTATTAAATGTCTCACTCTATTTGTTTGATCTAATGATGTAACAATATTTATTGAAAAGTACAGGTAATAAGTTTAGCGGTTCAGATATTTCTGTATAATTAGAAAATTGTGTATAGCTGGATTTTCTTCCACTGTGCTGTATTTCCATTATAATTATTTACCCTCCCACCATTTTCAACCCAAGTATCATTAAAATTAAATATTTTTGTAAGAGTAGAAAAATGGGCAAAAGGCTTATATGTAACTCAGAAAAAATTAAGGACAGAAAAGAGAAATATAAAAAAATTAACATATTTAACTGAGTATATCTCTTATATTTAAGAAACATAAATGAAGTAGAGTTTTCTATGTGAATTTTCAATAGTATTTTCATAGAATTTCACCTAATAGTTGTAATATAATTTACATGTGTATTATTTTTACTATCCTTGTCCTCTTGATAAAATGCAAGTTCTACAATAAAAGGAATTGTATCTGTTTTGCTTGGGGCATATTATAAAAGTTCAAACCAGTGTCAGTTAAGAAGTAGAGATGCAATAGCAAATATTTGTCAAAAGAAATAATTGTGCAATGAATGGGTGATTTTAAATTATGTGTGTGTGTGTGTGTTAACAATGATGTGATGAACTGATCGATTTTCACTGGCAGGAGTATAAATTGGTACAGTGTTTCTGCAGAGCAACTTGTGAAGAGATAAGTTTTTTATCAAATATTTATTTGACTCAAATTATTTATTTACTCTTGTAGAACTATACGTTAAGGAAGTAATCAGTCAGGGCAAGGTTATAGACAGAAAACTAAATGCTCTATTCTAGTATTGATATCTGTAAGACAGACAAAAGTGAAGGGTGATGCATAAAACATGGCATTTATCATTCTTTCAAAACGGACCAAATGATATAAAGATGAATTATTATAATGTTAAATGAAGACTAGAGGGTGGATAATGCTGCCTGGTGCCAACTTTGGTAAAAATGAAGAGAGAAAGGGAAGAAATTAAGTAATTATACTAAAGTGTTAATAATCATCATATCTGGGAGATGAGACTAAGATTGGTTCTAATTTTCTTGGAGTATCATAAAATAGACATTTCTATATGGATATTACCACCTTGTTATTCAGAAAAATGTCCCATTTATGAAGTTGGCCTTAGCATTTTCCAACTCCGAAGGGACAGGAAGAATATGTTAGAATACTACTTCTGTGCGCACGAGACTCATTCATCTGCATGGTTCAGCGGTAGTTTTTCTGGCTAGAATATTGTTTGAGAAATAATGCACTTGCAAATATTTTCTAATAAATGAATGCTTCCTTCCCTCTCTAACATTAATTTTAGAATTTAATACAAAGGACATAAAATACTTTAAGACTAACGTTGTACAGTTAACCAACCTATCATTAATAGTTGTATCTCATAGCGCGTCTTCTTTTCACCGACAAAGAATATTCTTTTTATATGAACATGGAATGGTCTTTGAAGTTTGTTTGTGGGGGAAGAAGTCACCAGTGAATGGAAGATTTTGATGCTAATATATATTTCTTTTCCCTTTTTATATGGGTGAACTTTAGTAAATGTCTATAAATGAATGTTTCTGGACTTGAAGTAAACTTTAATAATTAACCAAAACCAATAAGCAAGCATTATGGTTCTTTTCCAGTACTCGGAATTGACTCCTGGGCCCCACACATGTGAGGCAAGCACCTTAACATGAAAGTGCAGCCATAACCCTGAAAGGGTTCATTTGTTACTCAGTGGCATTATTTTTTGTCTTGTATTTGCCAAAGACAGTGGAACATAAAAATTATTACAGGATGATTACTGACATTATTCTGGGGTTTAAATCTTATTCCAAAATGATGTTTGTCCAAACATACTAGACACTGCTATACTGAGCTTCATTTCACAAGGGAAATGTTTCAAATAACTTTTAACAAGCAGTTTAGAAATAAAATTGATTATATAAACAAAAATTTTCCTTAAATTTTATGTCTTTTCAAAGCTGATTTAGAGCATGAAGGGCATAAGTTGAAAGTATAGGAAAATATAATAACACCGTGTAATTCAGTATTGAATAAGATCGAGTTTCACTGCCTACGGTTATTTGAATATTTAACACAGAATTCATACTTTATGTTTTCTCTAGGATTCAGAATTTCCCAAAGAGATGCAATCAAATCTAAATTTGAATTTAAATAAAGAAAATCTTCGTCCACCGAAATTTGACTACAAACTGAGTAATATTTTCAGACTGCATGAACTTCCAGTGAGCTGGTAGGATTCTTGATGTTTTATTATTCCTTTGAGGTTTTATTGTCACAGCTAAATTGTGGAGACATTACAGTAATTCATGATCAAAGTGCACTGCTCTTAGCCTATTCCCAAATTATTACTCAAATGGAATAAGAACGATCTTTTAACTTCTGCAAGAATTTTAAAATTAATTGGTTTAGGCACTTGGTGGCAGTGCAGACTAAGTACATTATTGTGTAATATTGTTGCAGAGGTTAGAGTTCTGGCTTAAAATAATGCACAGATCATTTTAGAGAAAGTTCTACAACTACTTTAAAGATGGAACCTCAGCAACTATTCATTTAATCTGTTCATTTTACTTACAGATTTTATCAATGTATGTTTTCTGCATTAAAATTTATAGCAATATTTTTCATATTTTTATTTCTTTTCTTTTTTTGTGGAAGAAGGGATTGAACTCAGGCCCTTGTGCTTGCTAGTTCAATGATACATTACAATTTAAGCAAATAGATTAGGTTGATAATCATAGAATGTCATTAGATTACACTTTAGATAAGTAAAATTGTTTCCTTGTATTTGGTCATGGAATGCAAAGCATGTAAGTAGTTGGTCTTCAAACAATCTGTGGTTATGCAAAACTGCAGCAAATATCTTGTAATTGGTTCTCTTATACTTAGAGATGATTAATGTCTTGGAATAGATATTAGCAAGGTCTAATACCTTACATAAATTTTACCTATAATATTTTTTCCTTCATTTGTGAAGTTTCTTCTCTTCTTGGTGATCTTATATGTATAATCTTTCTAAACATTTTTTGTTTTATTTCCTAGTAACGAGGTTACTGTCTGTGATATGTGCTTTAAGACTATAACTTTTGGGGGAGGGGAGATGGCTCAGTGCAATAAGTGCTTCCCTGGCAAGTGCAAGGGCTTGAGTTCAATCCCTGGTTCTGCAAAACAAAACAAAACAAAACAAAACAAAACAAAACAAAAAGCAAAAAAAAGAGTATAATTTTTATGATCTTAGTTTCTGTGATAAAAATCAATAGATTAATGAACTGAACTGGTGTATTAGTACATTAAGGGAACCAACATGATGCATGATGCCTTCATGTTCTGTTTTCACACCACAGGTATGTGTGTGCATTTGTTTCCAGTCTTTTGATAAAAGTTCATGACTTTTTCTTTGAGTGTCTGTTGGCTGGAATTCTACATCATTGTTTGCATCAGTTGTGCCCATAATGCATCATCTATAATTTCAAGGTGTGATTTATTTTAATTTCAAAGAAGAACTTCAGGCATGAAGAAAATCTTCTCCACACTTTTCATGATGTTAATTTAATTTTCATTGTCAGACATTCTGTTTGTAATATTTCATCACCATAATTAATGTTTAATTATATTACAGTAGAAAACACAACTAGCTTATAGAGATTCAGTAACAAACTACTTTGACTCTTTGTAATCATGGAGTTGAACAGTAGGAATAGCTAGAGGTGGACTTGGACATGACTGAGCTGTCTACACAGTGGGCTGCAGGGGACTGTAGGGGTATGGCTTGTGCATTTCACAGAGAGAATGGGAAGAGATGGAAAATCCAGTGGATAAAGTGCAGGTTCCAGGAAAATCATTTTTAAAATTAAAAAATAGGGAGCAACAGAGGGGAATATTTAGCTCTTAATCAAAGACAAGATTTCTTGATTTCAGCTTAATTTATTTTTAGCCATTGGAAAGACAGATGTCCTAATAACTACTGCTACAATCCAGGGAGTAATTTCTCTGTGACCATCTTTACTAGCTAGTCCACTAGGAGAGAAGAGTCTACTATTATGTGTTAGACAGCAAAAAAGTGAATCAGAAATAGAATAATCACTAGTATTTTAGGATAACATATCTCAAAGAAAGATTAAGTTGTGATTTTTGGGACAACTTATTTATCTGGGCCTTTTTTTCACTTGTCTGCTTCATTTCTAATTTCTCTCAGTTTCTATTTCTTATCACCATTTATTCTTTGCCACATGTTTGTGTTTCTGCATCAACTTTATCTCTTTCATTCCATTCTAGGCTCCCAATTCTATTTATTTATTTATTTAAAGTTATGTATGTGGTACAGAGTCTCACTACACAGCTCAGACTCGTAGCGTTCCTCCTGTTTTCAGCCTCCTGAGCACTGAGATTACAGGTGTGCGCCACCCCACCGTGACCTGGTGGACAGCTTAGTGTGCCCAGGGCTAGGGCTGGTAAGACATGTAGTGCCAGGGATCAAACCCTGGTCCCTGTGCTTGCCTAAGCAGGCCAATTCTTAATATAAACAATAATTTAAAAATTTAAGTTTTACAATTTGCATCTTTATTAGTCTTAAAACCAGATTTATGATCATCCAGTACACATGTACAGTACAGTATCTTGGTACTTATTAGTCCTTTAATAAAATGTTTATTGGGTCAAATTTTTATTATTCTTGCAGCACTGGAGATTTCACATCACAAACTGCCCCAAAAAGGTTCTAAAATGGTCATGGATATATGTGCTTTTTTTTGTTGTCAATTACCATAGTTTTAAATAAATTTCTTCACTATGATATATAGGTTCTGTAGCTTTCAACATTTAACAATAATAGTAACTACAAAATTAATATAAAGGATATAAATAATAGCAGTGTTTTACTAAGCACCTATAAATGCCAAGATTCATCTGCATTGAGCATAATAACATATATGATCTTCATATTTAAATAGGTTAGATGTTATTCCTGTTTCTTCCTTTCTTTCTTTTTCATATATACATATGAGACTTATAAACCTTGAGAATCACAGAAGAGAATGAATTTGTGTCAGATTTGTTTAACTCAAAAGTGAATAAGCTATACATTATTTAAAAAATTTTTAAGAAGATAACCTCTGTTTTTGTAGTTGGACATACAATTTACCAGTAAGATACAACATTATGACCTGTGATTGAGGGTAAAAACCTTTTTTATTCTGTTAATGAGCATGGCCTAACATAATTGCTATATATTGAAATATTAAAATAATTAATCAGATTGTGGTTAAGTACAAAATTTGCTATTTGTTCTCTCACTAGAAAACAGATTTTTATCAAAGTGTAGTTTTTACTATGTTTTTCTAACAAGGTCATAATAAAATAAATGCATGCTAAAATTCATATAATATAAAAATTCTTAATGTCTTACTAATTTGCATTTTTATAGAGTGTAATTTCATAGGTCAAGGAACCAGAAGGATTTTGAATTAGGTTAGGAGATTTTTAAACTCTTTCTTAAGTGGACATCCTTCTACTACTCCTCTGAGATGATTCCTATAAGTCTTTGAGTAACTTCCACTAGTTTCACCAAAATTCCTTTTTTGTGCAGAGAACTTACCACACTTCCAGTCTCTGTTCATGCTCTGCTTATTTTCACTGAGAGTGCATTGAAGTGCACACGGATCACACAGCTACCTCATGCTCTTCTCATTCTCCTGATCACCTCCCTGTGTTCTGGCTGACTTCTAGACTGACTGGATCTAGAGCACATCTTCAGTGAGTCCACCTCTGCCTTCTGGTTGCTTGGCTGCCCCTGGCTTTCACCCACAGCTTTGTCACTACTTGCTCAGGGGAGCTTTTTCATTTTTCACTGTAAATATTCTCCACATAGTGACATCTCTATCCCATCATGTCCCATGAGCTGGAGTACCTAATAGGCTATTTCAAATTATTATGTCCAAGAAAAACAGTGTTCCCTGGGAAAACCCAGTCTTCTCTTGCACTTCTTTGCATTTGCAGCACACCTTTCTTGTCCTTGCAGTGAAACCTGGGTGTTGTTTTGATTTCTTATGCTCTCAGATTGCAATTTTCACCAGGAAATTTCCCAGAAAATCTGACATGTTTTTTCTCCAGAATATTTCATTTTTCCCATTTTTTTCCTATCTGTCTTGTTTATCCCCTTACAAAATCTACTGATTTGCTTCATAATAGTTTACTCATTTTGTAGCAGCTAAGCTGTTTTAAAAATATAAATCAAACTATAATCTCTTCTAAAAATTCT